GCAAAGAAGAAAGCAGAAGTGGGAGGATATGTCGAGATGAAAAGTAGGATGTGTCTTTGCGACACAATCCCCTTTTACTCCGCAAGTGGTTCCTATAGGAGTTGCAGAACGGGGCGGCGGGGAGAGTCCATCCATCCATTCTCCTCCACCTCAACAGCTTAAAGTGGAAGGCTGTGATGGCCACCAACTCGGATGGCTTTAAAAGAGGAGAGGACAAATTCACGGTAGAGAAGGCTATCAGCGGCCAGGAATGCCTGGTTCTGGCAACCCCAGGAGTGCCCTTCTTGCTGTGGCTCTGCAGTAAAGCAGGAGGTATGCAGACAGAAGGTCTTAGCACATTCAGATAGGGCTGTGAATGCCCCTTGCTTGAAACTGTAGCCACCCCCTGCCAGCCCGTGGTATTTCTTAATTCCAGTGGCTCCGTCAATATGCATGGCATACACAGAGAGAATGAGATCAGCCCCTAGCTTGAGAAGCTATTAAAAAGAAAGAAGACCTGCGACAAAATGTCACAGAACCGAGTGCTCCGGTGCATCGTTCTTGCCAGCCATGCCCTCCTCAGATTACTCCATTCCATCCCATCCCCTTCCCTCTCTCGGCGTTCCATGGCCACGAAGCACGCTCAGCCTTCTGTGGCTGTTTCGGGAAAGGGACTTGGCTTTTTCTTCTTCTTTTCCTAAGAAAGAAAAGAAAAACTTCTGCCAACCTTGTGATTCTCCCCCACACGATGATACCTCCCCCTTGTACTTCAGTAGTTTTCCTGCCCAACCTAACCCCTGAGTTTACCATTTGCTTTTTTAAAATAATTAAATCTTCCATAGGATTGCATAACTCCAATCGCATATATTGGGTTTTTGATACACATTTTCTTCTTGACTTCCTGACCCTCTGTCCCTGATGTTTTTCTCTTATTATTATCCCTCATTAATATCTGCATTAAAATACATCCACATTTATTTTCTAAGCCCTGCAAAGTCCACTCTCTACTTTCTTCCAGTGTTCATATCTCAAATCCTGCACGTGATTTCACATAAGAATGATAATTCGGTAGACAGTCCACCAATGGCTCCCCTTCTTTGGCACAGGCAGGGTGATCTCATTCAAATGGTCGGGGGGGACCTTTTTACGCTGAGGGCTACTCTTTCTTCTGAGCCATTTTTGTTTTGGTGAGGGAGGGCTGGCACATTGCCAGTAGTGGTTGCGCCTAGAGGCGAACATGGGTAGACCTCCCAATGTGAATTCAACTTTTGCACAGTAGGCTTGTTTCGACACACTCATACTCCTCTCACTGTGTCCTCTAGCCACACAAGCAAGAGGCATCCATCAGAGTTCAAGGATTCATTCCAGCCAGGCAAAAAAGATCAAGGAGGATGCAGAGCTCTGCTGCGAAAGGGTCTGGTTTGGGGAAAGCGGGTGTGCCTTAGAGAAAACCCCAAGGGCCAGGCAGAGAAGGCTGCAGGGCCACATTTCTCCCTGAGGTTAGCCTTCCTTGCTGGAGAGGGTTGTCATTCAGGGAAGTGGAAGTGATGTCAATTGTCCACCAAGGCTGGTCTTGCCGATGTCAGCAGGAAAAGGAAAGGAAATTTACAGAAAGCGTTGCATGGGGAAGAGCTGAAGAAACAACAGGCAAAAATAAATAATAAAAATGTTGCAATCCGTTTTATAAGGCTGTCTTACAACAATGATATCATCACTGCCACATGCAAACTGACTTTCCCCTATATCTCAATATTGTACAACAGGGATGGGCAGAAAGTAGATTTACTGGTAGAGAACTGGGGGGGGTGGCTTTCAGTAAATCAGAAAGGCTTTCTGGCTCACAAGACCCCTCCAGAAGTCCTTTTTATAGCACGCTATGATTATGTGTGCTCATGGTGCTATCAAGGAGGCGACTTGCAATCCTGTTTGTAATACTGTTTGTTCTTGCAAAAGTCTTGGGCTGGTCACACTGCTCCACTTCCAAGCAGTGCATATCAATCTGCCCCAGAGGCTGAGGGAATCTGGTAGATTCCTGACTGTTTGGGCAGTCATATTCAGCGGCTATATCCCAGCTTAGTTGCTGAGATCATCTGCAGGAGCATCACTAGTCGTTCCCAAGTTGGTGTGGCTCATTTTACAGCAGCAAGAAACTGAGCCTTTAATATCATTGCCCTAGCCTTCTGAAATACTCTGCCAAGAGAGATTCAGCAGGCACCTTCTGTTTCAAGTTTTTAGCTCCTGCTGAAAACTCTTCTCTTCTGTCAGGCTCATGCAGGCAATTAAGAACACATCTTTCCGCAATAGCTAGCTGATTTCCAATTTTTGAAACTTCCATATGCTTTCTTTCATGTGTGGTTTAATATGCTGTATGTACTGTTGTAAACCGCTCTGAATTTTTTTTAGATGAATAGCGGCATATAACTTTAAAAAAATAAAAATAAATACCCCATAACTTCCTGCTGAAATCCCATAACTTTTTATACCACAGGTGTCCTGCTTTTCGTTTAGTTCCACTTTTGTT